GGTGATTAGGGTTTTGACCAACTCTGCTGGGATGCGATCGGTGTTGAGTATTTACTACCGGTAGCTTTTTTTTGATTTTTTTAGGCAACATCACAAAGCTTTTATTAAGTCGTCACAATGTTTACAGAGACGGATGGTAAATTCCCGGGATGACCAAACCAAACATGGCGGCCACCACCGAGAGATAAAGCATGCTTCGCTAAATTGTGAGTTTCAAAATTTGAGCTCCTAAATTCATGACTGAAATTACAGAAGTCAAAAGCTAAAGAACGTTCGACTATCTCATGAATGACTGCTCCATAGCTTGCCAAATTCTCCTTGTGTATGTCCTGCAGCACCGTTTTGCAGTCCGATGCCACTTGGATGCGCCTCAGGTAGAGATCATCTGCCAGTGCAAGTGCCTCTCTAATAGCAAGTGCTTCCAAAGTCGAAGGATCCACAATGTATCTAAAAGAGAGAGTCGAGGCTCCCATAAACATACCCCTGTCGTCTCTACAGATCACCCCCACTGTCCCACCGTTTCTGGTTACCGCTGCATCGGCGTTAAACTTCGCGTAACCTGATGGTGGTGCAAGCCACCACGCTGGTCGGGCGCTGGTAGAAGGGGGCAAGGAAGGATGCCTCTGCTAGGTCACTCGTAGTTCAGCCAAATATTTTGATATGAAGCTGTTGACAGAGTATGGTGCCTGAAATATATTCTCGTGAATTGCTTTACGCCTCGCATACCAAAGTGCCCAGAGCGTCACCACCAGGCGATCGAAAAGGTCATTCGTCAATATTTCATGTAGTGCAAACAGCCACTCCTTCGGACCATCCTCCTCGCGCTCAACCATATGCTGGACCAAGTCATCCGGCGCCAAAGCCCAAACACTTGCTGCCATCGGACATGCAATGAGGGCACGTTTCCATGTATCAGTCGCCCCACATAGCGAACAAAGTGTCCTCTGTTGCCATATGACGACGTTTGAGGACCGATCCCGTGGGCATGGAATGACGGGCTAGCCGCCACATGAACACCTTCAGTTTGGATGGTACTTGCATGCGTCAGATCATGGACCACTTCTTGGTGTCTTGATGCTCATAAGATGTACCGTCCTCCTCAGCTAACCAAGCCTCCCTGCTGTGTTTCATTTTTAGAATCATTCGGTAAGCAGAACGAACGCTGAAATTACCTCGAGGCTCTTCATGCCAGGCCCAGAAATCTCCCACCCGGCAAGTGCAAAGCGGGATCCATAGAATCTCTTCCGCGTCAAAGTGGGTGAACACCGAACGTACCAGGTTTTCATTCCACGTTGTCGATGTTGGATCTATAAGCTGCGCCACTCTCGCCAGAGGGTTCTGAGCTAGAGAGCATATGGGACGCTTAAGACCATCACGCGGGATCCAGTTGTGCCGCCAAATATTGGTCGTCTCCCCATCACCAATTCTCCTGATGACCCCTTGCGCCAGGATGTCACGACCATCCAAAATTGCCCGCCATATCTGGGATGGGTGCGATCCTAGTTCTGCTTGAAGGAGAGAGCAATGTGGGAAGTAAACTGCCTTGAGGATTCTGGCACTGAGTGAGTTGCTATCTGTTAGGGTGCGCCATGCCTGCCTTGCCAGTAGGGCGAGGTTGAAAATCTCCATGTCACGGAAACCTAGCCCCCCAAGTGCTTCGACATAGTCATTATGTCCCACGCTACCCAACTGGGCTTTCTCTTTCCATGCTTGGAACCCCACCAGAATTGTCGAATGATAGACATGATGCTCTCACACAGGCCTCATGGTAATCTGAAGCACGCCATGGAGTAAACTGGTATAGCTTGTGCAACAGATTTGTTCAAAACTTCTTTAACAGCAGCAGAAAGTAACTTCTCCATCCACCCCTTAATCTTCTCCCACACTCGATCCCAAAGATATTTGAACGTACCGTTTTTAGAGTGGCCAACATCTATAGGCATTCCTAGGTAGCGTTCACTCAAAGACTCGTTCTGTACTTGCAAATTGTTCTTGACAACTTCTCTTGTCTGTACTAGGCAACCCTTGCTGAAGAAAATAGAGGATTTTTCATTGTTGATCCGTTGTCTAGAAGCAGAACAATAAGTATCAAGCAGGTTTGATACCGGTAGCTGCAGTGTGCCCCTGCTCCGTGCGCTTGCGCGTACTCTCGGGCTGATACCTTGGAGTTCTGCTCCAGAATAGGAATGAAGTCACGTAACTCATTTGTTGTTTTTTTGCTGAGATCGGCCAGATGGCCTAGATAATAATGCATGGCGGTCTTAGTGGGACGACATAGGAAAAGGGGAGCTCCTAACCGGCGCCTTCAGCGCTGGTTGGAGTTTCTGGCACCCACGCGCCTGCTAGTATGGGCCAGGCCCACGAACACACAGGTAGTAGCGCGAAAAAAGAAAACTCAGACATACATGGCACTGCACGTGGAATTGGACTCGCGATCAATACCTCCAGTAAGTGGTTGGCTGACCACTCGAGCTAATACGAGTATATGAAACATTGCAGCGCGACGATACATAAGAACAGTAGCTGCGTAGATATTTAAATTATATGAAAACATTTTAGAAAAGCATGATTTCTTTTGACAAAAATGTGTTTTTTTTCTCGGAAGTCCACAGATTTTAGAAAAAATCAGAATTAGAAAAAATTTCATCAATTTTCCAAAAAGTTCACAAAAATCTGAAAAGGTTCATCGATTTTTAAAAACTTCCAGAAAATCAGAAAAAAGTTCATTGATTTTGAACAAAAACTTCATCTATTCTCAAAAAGAGCTTATCAATTTTCAAAAAAAGTTCATCAATTCTCAAAAAGAGTTTATCAATTTCAGAAAAGTTCATCGATTTAAATTTTTTTACGAAAATCAATTTCGAAAATTAGTTCACAAATATGAAAAACGTTCATCAATTTTGGAAAAGAGTTCGTCGAATTTGAAAAAAACTTCATCGAATTTGAAAAAAGTTCATCGATTTGGGAAAAAAGTTCATCGAATTTGAAAAAAGTTCATCAATTTTGAAAAGGAGTTCATCGATTTTGGAAAAAAGTTCACCGAATTCGAAGAAAGTTCATCGAATTTTAAAAAAAGTTCATCGAATTTGAAAAAAGTTCGTCAAGTTTGGAAAAAAAAGTTCATCCAATTCAAAAAAATGTTCATCGAATTTGGAACAAAGTTCTTCGATTTCGAAAAACATTCATTGATTTTGGAAAAGTTCATTAATTTGAAAAATAGTTTATTGAAATGAACAAAAGAAAAAAAACACCGAACAAAACCCTTTCGAATAAACAAGAAAAACAAAAAAAATAGACATGAGAAGAAAACAGTGAAGAAGATATTTTCGAACACATGAGGTAAGAGTGGTGCGGTGGTTAGCGTATGGTGCGAAAGAAGATGAGGTCGCGGGTTCGATTTCCACCAGACGCATTTGCATTTTTGTGCTTTACAACAGAAAAAAAGGAATGGTGGGCCAGCCCAAGAAGACGCGTGAAGGAGGGAGAGGTGTGCACCCGTTTGCGCGGTTGCCTGCAGCTGGCGCCGTTTAGGGAATGCCTAGGAAAAGAGGGTTGAGTCAGGGGTCGATCTGAAGCAGGCGACGCTTGACATATCTGCAAGAGGGCGAATTGGATGATGTGTACGTCGGAGAGGAAGAGAATGGAAACTGAAAAAGGCGGCGTGCTGGATGGTGGTGGCAAAAGTGAACATGAAGAAAACTTTTAGTAGTGCATCACTCAAGCAGGCGTTGAAAATTATAGGAAGTCTAGCTCATGATCCAAAGATTCGAGAGGTGGATGACAACCTCTTTGTGATTCACGTGTGCTGCTTGGGTGACTGGAAGATGCTGATGTTCTAGGTCCGTGGATCTTCCGAGGATTGATGGTTTTGATAGAGGAGTATGATGGCAGGACGTCGTCGGAATTAGTTAAGCTTCAGCATGTTGTCTTGTGGGCGCGTATCCATAAGATTCATGATCTTTACGTGAATGAAGCGATAGTTGATCAACTCACAAGGTGGGTCGGGACTGTGAGGAGTGTGGAGATGAACTCAACACGGTACTTTGAAGGACTTATGTCAGGGTCAAAGCGACTATCGAAGTAGCAAAAAAGTTGACCCATTGGACTCCACTAATCTAGCTGGGGAGGGACATTTTTTTGGGTGTCAAATATGAAAAGATCTGGTACTTCTGTGAGGTTTGTGGCTTACTTGGGCATGATAAGCAGGAATGTGGGGATGGTATTCACCCATCGGAAAAATGCAACGGGGCAAGTGGTTAGTGGCCAAAAAGAGAGTCACACAAATGGCTCAAAGCAAAGCTATGAGCGGCAAGACCTTCAGGAGCTTCATGGGTTCTTTGCATATATGATGCCGCATAAGAGGATGTCTAATGATACATGACTGGGGAAATGAAGTTCTTGATGACACTATCGAAGGTCCTTTGAAGCAGAAGGAGGCTGATGATGATGATGAT